CGCCAATTTTACATTTGATATAAAAAAAAGAATACAAACGAAATAAGCAACTAAAATAAGATACGGCGCGTAAGCCCTGGAGGATCCTGGCGCTTGAGACCGGCCCGCTCCTCGGGACTCCCTTGAACGATACCCTTTTTGTGGCAAGGGGGAGAGCGTCGCGACCACCACGTCACAACCTCTTGTCGTTTATTAAAGGCATGTTTGATAAGTACATAAGTTTAATATTAAAATGGAAAAATTAATATATACACAGTAAAAAATAAAATAACATAATTAATTTGAGTGGACCTCCTAGGACATGTAAAAAAGGTTAAAAATAACTTATTCGTCATGTGTTACTTATTGACAAACTAAGTAATGTTAAGTGACTGACACTTTACATTTATAGTTCTTATTTTGACTTTAAGTAATGTAAAACTAAAAAATAACAAAATAATAATGTTATTTTTACATTACTTAAAGTCAAAATATAACAAATATAAATGTAAAGTGTCAGTCACTTAACATTACTAGTTTGTCAATAAATAACACATGACGAATTATTTATTTTAACCATTTTTACATGTCCTAGGAGGTCCACTCAAATTAAAATTAACATTTTATTTTTTATTGTGTATATATAGAAACTACTAAAAATAATATTAAATACTTTCTATCGCTTCTAGTGCATTCATTACATCCTCTTGACTATACTTTTTTTTATGTACAGAATTTGCTCTTTTTTTCCTTCAAACTTTTACTCATTTTTAAATTTCTATATACAAATAAAAAAAAACTAAGAAAGTAATAGAAATGAATGAAAAAACTGCTCAAAACTAAATAAATTCATACAACAAAACAAACTTACTAGCAATGAAAAAAAGTTACAATATAATGTGAGGTGAGGTTATGTATATTAGTATTAAAAAAATAGGTGAAAAAATTTATAAAATTGAAAGTAAATATATAATCTATTATAATATTGCCATAAATAGTATTTGTAATAATTGTACTTACAGTGTTTTATTTGAAAAACGTATAAAACTAAATGCTAATTATATGGCTAGTTACTCGGACAGAAGAAAAAGTACTCTAAATGCCGCGTTGCCCAGTAATTGGCCGGTCGGTCAGTTATTGGGTGGTCATTGACCAAACATGATTTTCATGTACTAGTACATAACCATGTAAATTTTTAATGAAAAAACAATTTTTAGAAGTAAGTTGTCGTTTTCTATTTATTAGAAACATATTTAAGAATCTATAAATACAATATTTTATACGAAGTCCTAAAATTATGATGATTATTGTCTTAAGAAGTTTGACAATCAACTATGATTGATAGTGCATGACAGTACAAATATACATTAAGTTTTTAAATATTCTAAGCAAAATGTTCAGAAGCATAATTTTTTATATGAAAAGCTGAACAGTTAAATAATGTAAATGAATAATAATATTCTTCTTTTTGCGTGCACAGATGTTAATAAAAAATAATATTCTCCGTAGTGGTCAGGTAATAGGACGTGGTCAGTCATTGGGACTTTTACCTTACATGATTTTGCAAAACATGCTTGGCTATCAGGGAGGGGTGATGGCAAGTTAGGGCCTCCGCACAAACTCTTTCTTAACGCGTTACGTTACGTTAAGTACTAGTTTGTGCGTTGAATAAAGTTCAAGTTTACATACTAATCTAAGTTTATGACTAGTAAACAACGTTACGTTACGTTAAATATTAGT